ACCTGATTCAAGCCAGGGCCTTTGCAATTGCTTGCTATGCATCAGAGCGCTGGACAGTGAATAACTATGACAGAAGAAGAATTGATGCCTTTGCATTGTGGTGCTGGAAAAGAATACTGAATATACCATAAACTGCCAAGAGAACAAACAAGTCTGTTCTAGAGAGGGCAAAAACAAGCTATTCCTTGGAGGCAAGGACTTTGAGGTTCTGTCTTACATACTTCGGGTATGTTGCCAGGAGGGACCAGTTTCTAGAGAAGGTTATCATACTTGCAAGAAGAATGGAGGAATAGTGCAGAAGAGGAGTCTCAGAATGAGAAGGATTGACACAGTAACTGGAGCAATGGGGGGAGATGTGTCAGAGATAGTGAAACTGGCTCAGAATAGGATGAGGTTCAGAGCTATTGTACTTAGGGTCACTATAGAGACAGGTAACTATATAGCACACAACAACAATAATAACAGAAGGAAAAGACTGTAAGCAGCCCTACATTTGAATTAGAATTAATTTTAAAATACATTTCTAAGTAGATACATCTCTACGTAGAAAGGCTTTTGTTTTATTTTCTTTTATTATATTTCTCTATATAATTTTGATCTGTACACTAATCCATTTCCAGTTAAAGAAAGTTTTTCTCAATAATTATTTTATTTATGATACTTATTATTCTAATCTGATGCTTTTCTGGGTAATAGCTATAGTTGTTAAGCTATATTTCTATTCTCTTTTTATTTGTCTAAAAATCTACTTCAAATAGTTAAAAACTCTTAGTAGGAAGCATAGGTGATTATTATCTAGACCTTGAGAAAGATAATTTTCCTTTAAAAAGACACAAAATACATAGAATATAAAATAAATAAATCTTAAAATATTTGACAATTTTTTTTAAGAAAGATATTTGACAAAACCAAAAGAAACAATTTGACCACCAAAGCTACATTTAAAAAATAAGTGTTGCAGACTATAATATCTTCCTGACACTTTGAATATCAAGAATATACCATAAAAAAAGCATAATTAGAAAGTATACAGATATTTCATAGAAGAACCAAAACACTAATAAACACTAATTCTCACAGGGAGCCTATGTAAAACAGTCCTGAAATCTGCTCTATCATGTGCCAACTTGATTGTCTCCTACACATCTATTCCCATTACCCCAGTCACTGTATCAATCCATCTCATCGATGGTCTCCCTCTCTTTCTCCATTCCTTTGCACTTCCAAGCATGATGTCCCTTTCCAAGGACTGGTCCCTCCTTGCAACATGCCTAAAGTATGTTAGACAAAACCTCAGAATCCTTGCCTCCAAAGAGGCTAGCTTCACCCTCTCTAGGATGAATCTGTTTGTTCTCCTGGTAGTCTATGGCATATTCAATACTTTTCTCCAGGACCATAGCTCAAACGCATCAACTATATTTCTATCATCCCTAGTCATTGTCCAGCTCTCTGATGCATAACAAGAAATTGTGAAAACTATGGCCTGGATCAGGCACACCTTAGTCTCCATACTGACACCATTGCTCTTCAGTACTCTGGAGAGGTCCCTGACAGCAGATTTTCCCAATGCAATTACTCTCTTGATTTCCTGGCTACTGGTACCAAGAGCTTCGATTATGAAACCAAGCAAAGTAAAGCTATTAACAATCTCTTCACCATCCATCATAATGCTGCCAATAGGGACAGTGGTGAGAATCTTTATTTTCTTGATGTTGAGCTTTACTACACATTGAAATTAAGGAGCTAACATGTTGCAAGCAGGAACCAGTTCTGGCAGAGGGTTGTCAAGCTTGGGAGAGTAGAGGGACAGAACAAGAGAAGAAGACCCTTGATGAGATTAATTGACTCGGTGACTGGAGTAATGCGGAATAGGTGTGTCAGAGACAATAATGTTGGCTCAGTATAGAGCAGGGTTCAGAGCTGTTGTACATAGGGTGGCTATGAGTTGCAAGCAACTCAATGGTACATAATAACAAGAACACACACACATGCTTGCACAGAGACACATGGGAGGATTGGAAAAGTTATATATTACATGTCAGGCTGACAGCTAAAACACCAGAGATTCAAATCCAACAGTAACTTCTTGGGAGAAAGAATAAGTATTCTGATTCCATTAATATCTATGGCCGTTAACCAATAGAGCATTATTATGAGTCAGAACAGATTGCAAGGGAGTGGGCATTCATTATCTGATTAATATATAACATATACGCTGTTGTGGTGGTTGTTGTTAGGGTGCTACTGAGTTGACTACGGTTCATAGAGACCCTGTGAAAACAGATGCGCATCCTGTCATATCCTGTGCCATCCTCATAATCCCTGGTATACTTGAGCCCATTGTTACAGTCAATTTAGCATTCCAACTCATTGAGGGTCTTTCTCCCTTTCACTAGCCTTCCACCATTCCAAGCATGATGACCCTCCCAGGACTGGCCCCTCTAAATAATGTGCTTAAAACATGTGAAACAAAGCTTCTTTCTTCAAGATATATTCTATTGGAAGTTTATGGGATATTCATTACTTTTCTTCAACACTACAATCCAAAAGCAACTATTTTTCTTCTGTCTCCCTTAGTCCTAGTCTGACAGACTTTGGACATGTTGCAAGGAGGTACCAATCCTTGGAGAGGGCCGTCATGCTTGGGAGGGTAGAGTGGCAGGGCAGGAGAGGAAGACCCTTCCTAAGGTGGATTGATTCAGTGACTGCGGTCATGAGGGTAGGTGTGTCAGAGACAGTGAGATTGACAAAGGATAGAGCAGGGTTTAAGGCTGTTGTACATAGGGTTGCTATGAGTCACAGGTGACTAGATGGCACATAACAACAACAACAACAACAACAATAACACCCTTAGTCCAACTTTCAGATGCATAACAAGTAATTGAAAAGACTATGGTTTGAATCAGATGCACTTTATTCTTTAAAATGATATCATTGTTCATCAATACCTTATAGAGGTTTTTGACAGCAGATTTCACCAATACATCTTTTGATTTCTTGACTTCTGGTGCCAAGGGTGTTGATTGTGAATCCAAGCAAAGTAACAAATCATTAACAAGTTCAATATTTTCTCCATCTGTCATGATGTTGCCTTTTGGCCCAGTGGTGAAGATATTTTGTTTTCTTAATGTTGAGATGTAATCTATATTAAAGGCTAGTCTTTGAGTTCTACAACAAGCATTTCAGGTCCTTCTCATTTTCAGCAAGGTATACCATCTACATAACACAGGTTGTTGATTAGTCTCCCTCTGACTCTGATTACACTTTTCTAGCATCTCAAATAATTTGCTCGGCATACAGATTGAATACATATGGAGAAAGAATACAGCCCAGACACACACCTGTCTTGATTTTGATCCTGCAATGTTCCTTTGCTCTGTTCGACAATAGCTTCTTGGTATAGATGTAGGTTTCACATGAGCACAGTTATGTATTCTGGGATTCCCATTCTTCTCAATGTTATTCATAATATGTTATGATCCACACCGTTAAACACATTTGCAAGGTCAATAAAACACAAATAGATATTCTTCTGGTATTCTCTGCTGTCAGCTGAGATCCATCCAACATCAACAATGATCTCTGGTGTCACAGCCTCGTCTAAGTCTAGCTTCAAGTTCTGGCAGTTCTTTGTGCATGAACTGTTCCAATCATATAGGGATAATCTTCAGCAAGATTTTTACGTGTCCTTGCTTTCATGTTGTCACTGGCCAGTTTTTCAGAAGTAGATAACTAGGTTTATGGATCAATTCTGTGACTGGAGAGGTGGGAATAAGTGCGTTTGAGATGGCTAGGTTGGCACAGGATAGAACAGCATTTAGAGCTCTTGTACATAGGGTCGCTATGAGTCGCAAGCGACTCGATGGCACATAACAACAACAACAACAACAAGATAACTAGGTACTTTTACCTTGTCTGTCTGTCTTAGTCTGGAAATTCAGCTGAAGCCTGTCGACTATGGGTGGTTCATTTGTGTATTGTGTGTGTATGTTGGAAATACTGGTGGCATAGTTTCCAACATTACGCTGATAGATGAGAGGTAGTCACAAAATTAAAATTCCTTATTTCAGACTATTTACAATCTTCCTAAAGGAATGACATTTTCTGCATGGTTCTATGATCTGCTGAAGATGGGGAAGAAGGGAGAATATTCTTTCATTTTGCTAATCATTAGTGAACCCTCACCATACTCTTCCTTGGCCCCCTTTCCATCTTCATCTGGTTCTCACATTCTAGGAAAGGACAATGAGATCTTTACACTCACTCAGTTTGTCTTGGGAAAGGGCCAAAATCAGTTAGCATTATTGATAGCCAGTTGGAGTAGCTTTAGAACAGCACAATTCAGCAAATGCATTTACACCTCTTTGCTTTCTCTCTCTCCCCAATTTGGCATATTCTAGTTTGTGTTTTGCTCTCTGTGTAAATAGGAGAAAAATACAAGATACCATTCAGCCTTCTTTGTCTGAAAAGCCTTAGCATTTCAGTGGTTTTCTTTAAGGGGGTCCTCATTTGTAACCAACATTGCTATTAGCGGAAATCAATCTGAAAGTCCTATTGTGCATCTTTTTTTCTTCCCTCACAGTCTGAAATTGCCTTGGCCAAGTTTTCAAGCTTGCATCTGAAAGACCCTCTCTCATTTCCCGGTTCCTGGCCTCCAGCTCCATTGAATTCCCGCAGAGCTTTCTCAGACATAAGGGCTGCAGTGTGAGTGTCGGGAGGAACTCGACCTACTCTGCTGACCTAGTGGCCTGAGCCAATCATAAAGAGGATTGGAACCTCCCCAGAGCCCTCCTTCCCATGCCCTCCCTCTGTGCCAGCCTCCTGGAAAGAGAGACTCTGGGTGGGGGGCAGTTTGCAATTCAAATATTTGGCTCTCTGCCTGCTTTTTTTCTAAATAAGAAGGCTGGAGCTGCAGCTGAGGTGCAAAGGGGTCAACTGAATCACAGCCGAATAAGACCTGAAGATTCTCACCAGTCTCTTATTCTTTCTCGAAGCTAAAAGGAGGAAAGGGCAGCAATGGTGGAGGCTTTCTGTGCTACCTGGAAGCTGACAGACAGTCAGAACTTTGATGAGTACATGAAGGCTTTAGGTAGGTAAAAATACCATGTGCTGTCTTCTTAACTTGCAGCTTCAACTACTTGTATAGACCTTTCCGACCATCTATCTGATCAGCAACAGACAAAAGCAGGCAATATTTCCACAATAGGAGACTAAGTATTTCTCATTGAACGGGTTCTGAATGTGACATGTGCCTTAAATAATGGATCATTTGCTATTCTATGGAGGATTGAGGCTTCTGTGTTTTGGGATTGTTTTTCCCCTCCTCAGAATCCACATATTATTTGTTCTCAGTTATATTGCAAGATTAGTGGCCAAGTCATGCAGAAGTTAAACTTACACATTAGAACCGCTATTCCAGAATCAGAAGTAGATTCATGCTTTGTGAGCTACTTTGGAAGTTACAGCTGACTGTACTGCTTTCTTTTCCTCCTTTTTAGGTGTGGGCTTTGCTGTTAGGCAGGTGGGGAATGTGACTAAACCCACAGTTATCATAAGCCAGGAGGGGGACAAAGTGGTGATCAGAACTCAAAGCACATTCAAGAACACAGAGATCAGTTTCCATCTGGGAGAAGAGTTTGATGAAACAACTGCAGATGACAGAAACTGTAAGGTAAGAGGCAGCTTTTCTCTCTGGCAAGGAGGAAGTGGAGGGAACGAAGGAATCTTTGTTTCTTTCTGCAGATTATGGGAAAGAGAGTAAGCTTGTGTTACTTCAACTCAGGGAAGAGGACAGGAAGACAGTATCTAACATGCACATATCTTCTGAACAATAGATAATTGCTATAGCTCGAACCTCAAATCCTTTTTTCTCTTACCAAATGTTCTTCACCTTTCTATGAAAACTATAGTTCAGAGAGGATTTAATACTGTTCATCGGAAAGAAAGATTATACTTTGTTTAATCTGTTTAAGAGCTTCAGATTGACTGAATAAGCACGTTGCTATATCTTAAGGCTTTGCTAAAAAATAATGGCAACTAATCAGAAAGCAGCATATTGTGTCGGGATTGTAACATCTAATATATAACAATTTTGCACCAGGATGTAAATATTTTAGTCAAATTATCAATTATCACAGTTTACATAATAGTAAATCTCTAGCAATAGAGAGAATGGTACTAATAAAATAATTAATTGATTGCAGTTATTAACTATGCAACTCTAACAAAAAAAATCACTAGTTACTTGTACTTCCTGTAATGTTTTGTATTTTGTTGTTGATCTCAGTCTGTTGTAAGTTTGGATGGAGACAAACTCATTCATGTACAGAAATGGGACGGCAAAGAAACAAATTTTGTAAGAGAAATTAAGGATGGCAAAATGGTTATGGTGAGTAGTGGTAACTAGTATTAGTTCTTTTTCATTCATATTTCTGTCTCCCTCCTTCTCTTCCTCCCTCCTTCCCTTCTCTAATAACTATAGCTCCAGCAAAGATTTTAAACCATATGTAAAGTCATTAAGTAAATTCCTGGTTAATTCTTTCCTTGGCTTTCTCTCTAGAAACAATTCTAATTAGTGTAGTTGAAACAAAAATGTTGCAGTTAATTGTTCTAACACTAGGGGTGAAAATCTTTTTTGCTATAATTAGTTTCATTGTTATGTGCTACCCAGTTGATTCCAAATCAATGGAATATAAATATTAATAATCATGAAAATATAAAGCTGATTGATATTATTCTACAAACATGAAGCTTGTTGAATCTAAAGAAATTACTTTATAACACCTGAACTACATAAGCATTCTTTAAACATTTTTATTTTATGAAGCTTATATAAATTTAGTATAAAAATTTATAATGTAATACGAAAGTATCATAATTTAAAAATATTCCCTAAAATCCTTCACCTGATAGGGCCATTTTAATTTTCTTTCCTTCCAGTCTTTTTTCTATGAATTAAGATGCCTTTTGAACATATACTTTTAGTATTGCATGTTGTATATAGTTGAGGCTATTAGGACTCACTGACTATATATAAGATAAACTGCCTCACAGGATTCCTTAGACTGAAATATTTGTGGAAACAGATCTCCAGATGTTTATTACTTGGAATTTTGGTGAGTTTTGAACCACTAACCAAGGATTTAACCAGTATGCTCCCAGGACTCTTTCAGTACAGAATCTAACTTAAAACTCACTGCCATGGGACGAATTTCATTGCATAATGACTTTCCTTCAGCTTTGAGGTTACAGATCTTTATGGAAAGAGGTTTCCTATCTTTCACCTGCAGAAGAGCTGGTGGATTTGAACGATTGGTCTTTCAGGCACCAATTCAACATGGTGCACACTTATTGTCATCTAGTGTATTCTTACTCATCAGGTCCTAAAGCTCCAAATCTTGATGAAAAGAAATTGCTCATCTTTCTCGCTGGGAGACCCTAGTAGAGTCACACTACCAAATTCACAAGATAAAATACAACACCCAAAGCAATACTATTGTCGCATTTACTTTAACTAGTTCACTTTGTCACAACCATTTCTTAGACCATTTGGCTAAATGAGTTGGACTTTCTAATGACTATTTAACATTTATCTAGGTTATAAATTGAAATGTTATAAAGCGCTGTTACACACTTCATTGGTGTTGTGTACCACTGAGTCAGAACCGACCCATAGCTGACCCTCTGGCAGGTTTTCAGAGGCAGTTAACTGCACAGAAGACTGCTCATTCTTTTCCCATAGAGCAGCTGGTGGATTCGAACTTCAGGATTGCAGCACAGCTTCTTACCACTAGGCCACAAGAATGCCTACCCAATTTTGTTGTTGTTAATATGTGTCAAGTTGCCAGCTACTCATAGCAACTCCATGTACCACAGCCCTAAAATCTATTCTAGCCTGTACAAATCTTATTGTCTCTGACACACCTATCCCCATCACCCCAGTTACTGAATCAATCCATGTTATAGAAGGTCTTCCTCTCTTGTTCTGGCCTCCACCCTTCCACCGTCCCAAGAATGATGTCCCTCTCATGCCTAGAATATGTAAGTAGTCTTGTTTTAGAATATATGCCTGGGAAAGTGATTGAGATCTATTATTCCTTACACTCAATTTGTCCCTGCAGAAAAAAACACAAACAACTAAAACAAAAGGAAAAAAGAAATCCCATTGTGGTAGAGTAAATTCTGACTCACAGTGCTACTCCACTGGGTTTCTGAGACTAAATCTTAGTGGGAAGAAAGTGTTGAGCTTTCTACCTAGGGATGGCTGGTGAACGTGAACTATAGATCTTCCAGTTGCAGCTCAATACGTAAGGCACTATGCCACCGGAATTCCTCTGGTGACCAGTAAGTAGAGATTTGTGCTGCTAGTCTTAATGTGGGAGGTTTGAATCTTCAGATGCTCCACATTAGAAATATGAGTAATCTCCTAATATACAATTTCTAGTCATGAGGCAGACTGACTCGACAACAGTATATCAGAAACTAGACATGTTGTGGTTATGTGCCATTGACTCTGTGCACAAAGGTTCTGAACCCTGCCCTATCCTGAGCTACACTGTCTCTGACATATCTACCCTCATTACCCATTACTGTGGCAATCCATCTCTTCTTGGAACCTTTTCAAGCATCATGTCCTTCTCCAAGTACTGAGCCCTCCTGGTAACATGCCCAAAGAGACTAGATTAGAGCTCCATAAATGAGAAGGGTCTCAAAAAAAAAAAAAGTATGTTGGAGATGATGAGATGGCACAAGATAGGGTCACAATGAGTCATATTTGACTCAGTGGCACCTAACAACAAATCGAGTCTAGTTAGTTCCAACTTAATGGTATACAACGAGTGGAATTGTCTATGCCTAGTAGTACTGCTGACAAAGGCTGCACCTCTCTGGAAGCTGGAATCCACCAGCTCCTCCTGGAAGAAAGATGAGTATTCTCTTCTTATTGAGATTTACAGCCTCAAAAACCAACTGGTGGGTAAGCTATGAGATAGAATCTACTCAATGGTAGTGAGGGAGGGAGAGTGGGAGGGAGGGGATGCGTTTCATAATTTAAAGCAAGATAAATTCCTTAGACATGAGTCGAGATATTAATTTTAATTTTTGCTTCAAACGTGAACATTTTTTTACATCTTATGTAAACAGTGCTTACTCTAATAAGTATATTAGTTTCTTCTGTTTTTAGGTTTTAGAAATAGTTTTGCAACATTTGAGAATTAAAAAATTCACTGATTTTTCACAATGCTTAAATTATAAATATGACTCAGCTACTTATATTTTTGTGTAGAAAAGTTTTATTTTCCTTTTATTTTTTCAGACTCTGACTTTTGGTGATGTGGTTGCTGTTCGCCACTATGAGAAGGCATAGAAAGATGATGACTTCTGTGTTCATTTCAGGGGGTTTTCCCCCACAATTTTTCCACTCCCTTAAGTCTTAGTGCTTTCCTGCTATTGTAATAGCACAGCTGACCACAAACTCAAACGCTATCCTTGATATAGATGTGGAAAATAGTGACACAAAGCACGTTACTCCAAGCAAACGGTTCAGTATTGGGCTACAAATTCACCAAGTTTTAAAATTTGTATTTAAAATTTTAAGTTACATTACTTTAATACAATGAAGGGAATTTTTTAATCCTCTTTTCAAGTGTATATCAAATTGGAATAAAATTCTTACACATGAGAACTGTTGGGTTTTCTGTATCATTATTCTGATTGAAAACTGTGTAATAGCTCTCTCGTTTTTTGTTTTTTTGTAGCAAAGCAAAACAGATTTATTTAAAATTGGACTTCTTAACATGCCAACGTACATTATACACTTTTTTT